TTCCCAAGGTCCCCAAAGGCCTGTGTATTTAAGCCTTGGCCCCAACCTGTGGCACTATTGGAAGGTGCTGGGAACTTTAGGAAGCTGGAGGAGGTTAGATCACTGGAGGTGCGCCCTTAAAGGGGATGTCAGAAACCTGGCACCTCCTGTTGCTCTCTACTTCCTGATCAGCATTGCTCCACAATGTGTTCCTGCCACAGTGTGCTGCCATGTCACAGGCCCAAGGCAATGGGGCCCACTGACCATGGGATGCATTTCAGAAACCATGAGCCACAATAAGCCTTTCTTCTTTTTCAGTTGATTATGTCAGATGTTTTGTTACAGTAATGAAAACCTCACTAACACCCTGGATGGGAAAGCCCCAAGGTCAGCTTCTGAGTTCATTCATGTCATCTCAAATACATGGATGATTACAATCTTAGAATCAAAATCCACAAAGACTTAAGGAACCCAGACTCCTGATTCCAAATGTCCAGATCCCTAGGCTTTCAGGTTCTGTGCCACATAGGATTCAGCAGCCATGGACTCATATATTTTCAGACTAAAAGGGATGTAGCACTGCTTAATTCTCACCTGAGAGAGCATGGAAATGAGAGACAGGGGGCCAACGTCTAGTCAAGGGTCAGAAACTACCTGAGATTCTTCTGGGTGTGCTGGGTGTGCTGGTACAGCTGGGTGTTCCCCAGGAGCACCTCATAGTCCTGTGGTGCCTGGGATTTGCTGGAGGAGGAAGGGCCCATTATCAGCATCGTCTCTGATTCAGGGGCCCCCACTCTTCCTGCATCCTCATCCCACTGCCCACACTGCTCTGGACCCCCTTCTCCCAGCCCTGATTCCAGGCACCTTTGTCTCCTCCCTTCTAACACTCAGGAGCCTCCTCGCTCTGGGTTGATGAACATTCAACTCACAACCTCAGGACGCAGGGCTTCCCACCACCTCCTAGAACTGGAGGAGCTGAGAATCCTGGTGCTGGAAGGGTACTAAGGGGTGCCTCAGATCAAACCCTCTTACTTTCCTAGGAGGAGCTCTGGACCATTACCATGTTATGGTTCAGACCTTAAATGACTCCCATAGGTTCATGTGCAAAAGGCTTGGGTGCTGGTCTGTGGCACTATCAGGAGATGGCAGAACCTTTAAGCAGCAGAGCCTAGGAATTGGGGGTGTGCTCTGGATGTGATGTTGGGACCATGTCCCCCCATTAGCTTCCTTGCTGCCATGAGGTGAAAAGGACTCCTCCACCATGTGCACCTGCTGTGGCATACTCTTCTCCCACAGGCCTCCTACAAGAATGTGTCCAAATCAGCATGTAACAGAGGTACAACCCTGTGAAACCAGGACCCAAAGTAAAATTTCCTCTTTTTAATTTGATTTTCTCAGGTATTTTTTCCACAGTGACAAAAAGCTAACTCATACATCAGTCGTCTCTTCAAATATCTCCCTCTGACCCAGGCATAAACATTACTACCTACTCCCTCAGGGTTTCTTTTCTACTTGGTCGTAATTGCTCACAACAAATTTTTTACACAAAAAAAGAGTGCACAAAATTGCAGCTTTCCTTTGTTCTGATGAGAACAAGAAACATCATGGTTTTGTTCACACTGCTCTCTAACCAGGAGGGCTCCTACCCATCCACAGACCTAATTCCTGTTTGGTAGCCATCCCTACAGCTCCTCATACCCACTCCCTAGGTGAGAGCATCTCTCGACCCCTTCCCTCAGTTCAGCCCTCTTTGCCCATGTCTATGAATTTATTGCTGATATGGAGGCAAAGTGTACAAAAGTCTACTGAAAACCTTAGAATTCCAACATTTGATGAGTGATGTGTGTCATGAGAAGGTCTTCCTAAAGTTTTTTGTAATGAGCTAAAGCAAAAATTTTAAGATGTTAGCAGACCACGGCTCAGCTGTTGACTGGCATGGCACAGGCTGGCCAAGGTCCCAAGAAACAGGAGACTCTGACCAAGCCTACCCAGTGCAGAGACACCAGGAGGAGCTTCTTCAACTGAGTTTCAATGAAGGTGCAGCTTACCAAGGGCATGCATCCACAAGGGGCCAGTCCCTGTGGTCACCATCAGAAAGCAGAGCACATCAGTAATTGGGGAGTGGGTCTTGCTGGTGGGTCAGATGACGTTTCCCAAGGGAGCTGCGACTTCTTCCCCTAGAAGCCAGGCCCTGTCCTCTCATCAGGCCACCTACCCAGTAAGACCATGGCCATGCTGGGGATCAGTCCAAACTCACTGTCCAGCATCATTCATGGGAGGAGAAAGATGCTGTCTAAAAATAACACTGTTTCCAGGCTTACTTCTAGAAACCTGATTAAAGGCACAGGGGACCAAGAGCCAAAAGCAGCCCTCC